TATCATCAGCAACTCCAACAGCCAGCAGAAGCCTCGCTACGAGTATAGAGAGAATAGAGAAGTATGAAGATAGTGTTAGAAATCGCGTCTGTGTGGGAAGATCCTTCCCCGTGAGCGCTGCAAATATCTTTACTCTAACAGCGAGATCAACATGGACGAAAGATATATATGAGAGCCGAATGCTGTGAGAAACCATGAGGAGCGTTTGCGTGTAGGAGAAACTTTTGACATTACCATCATGAGCCAAAGGATTTGCTGATATCGTTAGTATTTACAGCATAAGATCTAATCAGATACATTAGTAAAAGATTGTATTATAAAGATATTTCTATAAATTTCAGCATAAGCTACAATTATCAAATCTTATGCAACGGTATTATCCTAACATAATTTCTGCTGAAAATTATCGCTATTCAAGCTGTTACGTTATCAAGCTGTTCGGTGTCTCGTACCGATATCATGCAGGAAGTCCGATATCGACGTCACGTGAAACGTTGATGTATTATGAACATAGACAGAGATAGTCGTGCTGCTGCAAAATCATAGCCCATCACCTACTCGATCAGCAATCGAGATCCACTGGTGTGCGTCTCACCACAGCGTACACGTTACTACTAATAGTCAATCATATCCACCGACGCCTTTGCAAATGTAGAGACGTCCACGAACGCTACATCCTCGCACATCTATATCAACAACGCCATTGGTGTCCTTCTCGCTACGACGAATAGACACCGTCGCACATTTCCTTTCACATACAGCATCAAGACAAGGACCTGGAGACTATACCCACATACGAATGTCCTTGTGTTAAAATCCTGCGTTTTCCCGCAGTGGTTCTCCTCGCTCAAGTCGGAACCGTGACGGTTGACGAGGGTAACGCGGAGGTAAAATCGTTTCTCCGTCTTTCATTTTCCCTTTCTTTCTTTCTCTCTTTACTTCTCTCTTTCTCTCCCTCCCCTCCTCTTTTTTTCTTTCTCGCTCGCTCGCTGCTTCCCCTTCTGTCTCTTTCTCTCTTTTTTCGTTCATCCCTCCATCACTGGCAGAATCTCGCTATAGTATTTACGAGGCGGCCCGACAGAGGCGCCATCATGGGGTTGTGTGGTCATGGTTGAAAGTTTTCGACGTCGATCGAATCTCCAATTGGGTGGGAGGCACGAGTACCAAGGATCACTTGGCCGTGCCGGGTGGCACAGGTGGAGGTTAAGGGGAAATACCGAACCTTCCACTAGCATACCACTCTTCGCGGACACCCTCCACCTTTCTCCACTTCTTATCCTCCCTCTCCCCCCTCCCCCCACTGATAACAGTGCTATGTCGCAACTACGCAAGCTTGTGAATGGAAACGAGGATAGACTGCTTGGAGAGAGTTTCGCGGTGTCTTCCAGCGATCGGTCGGAGGAAAAAGTCCTTAACGGTCATCCTAAAACGGTCATCTTGTGATCCAAAAAATTATTTCAACGTTACAGAAAAATCAAAAATTATAATGTATATGTACTTTAAGAATTACTGCAAAGTCAGCTGTATAAATCATTTCTTATTTCCTTAAATATGAAAAATTAATTTCGACCAATTTCAAAAATAATTAACGAAAGAGAGATAAAACTAAGCTACTAATCAATAAAGTTTTACAATATATATATATAATCTAACTCCGTTTATGTATATGCATATAGTATATATATATATATATAT